GTTCAGAATTGGCATAAGACAAATTTCCAAAGATACTCTTTCTACACCTCTATCCAAATAGACTTAAATCCATTATGTACAATTCACATCCAATGAACTCAGTTTCCCTAAAATATATGCATTTGTTGATTTTTAACTAAGATGATGTCAAAACTTATTAACCAAAAGAAAAAAATCCAATCAGGAATTGAAAACCTCTCTATTCGCTCTGTGCATAGAAGCAGTTATTTATACTCACATGAGCTTGGAAACCATCACGAAGAGAAGAGTCTTGGCGCCACTTTACCCTTTGTGATCGGGGGAGATTCCCCGACCTCTGTGCGTCGAAAAAGAGAATGCTTTTGTTTAATGCATCTCCATAATCAGGCAGAGCGACACCATGAGTTGATCCCATCAAGACAGCAAAAATCAAAATCAAGAACTTCCACATAGATACAAAGATGGAGAAAAGTGAAAGGAAGAACAGAAAAAGATAATGTAGAGTTGGGGGTACAGCGTTCGGTTTGGCGGTTTTTTCTTATCGTTTTCCGACATTATATTACCAATCTCCTGCAACATGAAAAGCCCCACCCATAAGGGGAAAAGGACAAATAGGAAGGTAGGATTAGCCGTTCCCATCCCCGTTTCAGTCAATTAACGGATACAGATTCCCCACGGCCCACAGGATATTTGGCAGATCTGTGTGTTGGGTCGGCATCTCTCTTGCTCGAATTGGTTGGGGTCGGTCAATTTTTTTTTGTTTGACTTGATATGTCTATAATTGCATAAGGGGTGGGCATTTTTAAACGGAACTGATGGTTTACCTAAAAATCGAAATGAAAAAATGAATTTGATTTGGTTTTAATGGTTTTTGGTTTTATTTTTTTGGTTTTGATATTAATCAAATATATTTTGGTTTAGTTTTGGTTGAGTCTCTTAAAAACCAAAAACTGAAAATAAAATCGAAATTAGGATAAAATAGATAAAATATATTAAAATATGATAAAATATGTGATAAAATATAATTTATTATTAAAAAATAATTAATTAATATTTATTTAATAAAAACTAAAATCGAACCAATTTCACTGATAAAAATTGGTAACCGAATTGATTAGCTTATAACAATTTTGGTTCGGTTTTGGTTCATAAAATTAAAACCAAAATTTTTTGGTTAATTTAAAATTGGTTTCGGTTTAAACCGAAACCGGCTTTGCCCACCCCTAATTTGCATCATACCTCTTGTTTCTTAACTTTAATTATTTCTTTTTGAATTCTTTTACACATTGTTTTATTATAGTTCTGCATTTGGCTGTACTCATGTTATTATGTTGGTCGTAATATGTTATTTTTTTTGTTTTTATTATTTTACCTATAATATTCAATTTATTTTGTTTTGTTGTTTTACTTTGAACTCTCTCTTGGCTGTAATAAGTGATGGGGATGGCCACATATTTGACAATAAAATAAAATCTGTGTAGGGATTTAATTCTAGATCTTTCAAAGCTGTCAATCTGTGGCTCCAAGGTGCAATAGAGTTTGCCGTACTGTCACATCTGCTCTTTCTGGCGCCGAGCAACAATTTTGACTTTTTTGGGTTTGTCTGTTTTTGTCATATGGTGGGGGTTAGAATCATGAATTGTCATCTTCCGTTCGTGCTTGCTAGAGGCTGACTTTCATTTTTCTTTTCTAATTTGATCTTTTCTTACTCTAGATCTGTAGTGGTAGTAGTCCGAAGTGGTAGTAATCCGAAGTCACAATCCGATCTCACATAGCCCGAGGTCAAATACCTGCGACACTCGGACCACCTCCAATCTAGCCACCTTGGCAACAAGGAATGATGAGCTCGTCTAAGAGCTCATCCCCTTTGATCCTACTCTACAGTAACTCCGTACGTGCAGGAATACTGTAAGGAAGTCTTACGGGATCATTGACACATATAGCCCTGATTTCTCGTGAAGAACAACACGTGGATGCCCCCCTTGAAGGCTATAAATACCCCCCGAGGGTCCTCTCCAAAGGTAATTGGAAAAACCGAAGTCAAACTTAGCTCTTGATTCACATTTGGTAGCTCTGATTATTGCTAACTTAGGCATCGGAGTGTCTACCCTGAGGACCCACCTCGGGGCTTTGCAGGTCTACCGAAGTGAGCAAACAGGACCCTGAAGTACCCAAGTTCCCTTGCAACTACAAGATCCTTGTCAGATTTCATCCAATTTTTTTTATTTTCATGGCTAACTTGCACTATAGTGGTTGCCAGCAGTAAGGTGGAGGTAAATAAGGGCATTATTCTTATCATTTCTCCTCAATTTGTCTCTTTAATGACCATGTAAGCTGGATAAAATGTTAATTTGGCAAGTTAATTTTGATTTTGGGGTTTAATATGATAACATTTTTTTCTCTTTCCTTAGATTTTTTGGAAAAATTGCAATTGTAATGGATTTTTTTAATCTCTTTCTATATCATTTGGCACTTATAGACCCTTGCTTCTTTGCTATCATTCTACAATTCTTAATTCTTAGAAACTATTACCAGGTAATGGCTGTGGAT